AAAAAAAAAAAAACTGAGCTGTTGAAGAAGATCTTTGTGTCTTTCTTCAATTCCTGCCAGTATATCAGCGTCATGTTCAACTAAACAGGCCGAGATTTTTTGTCAAATATGAGGTCATTTAATCTAGTGTGTTATATTTCATTACATACACTATTTATAATATTTATAAAATGCCTTTTATTGAATGCACTAAATGACAATAAATGACTGTTTGTGAAACTAATTCTATTTTATTCCATAGAATAATTCACTCTTCAGAAACATATTTCATTAAACCCTGCTGATCCCCACAGCACGTCTCTTTTGGCAGCGATCACCCACCCATGGTCCAATCTTCCTGATTAAGTCTCTCCCAGCTTTGCCTTTGGTCACTTTATCCCATCCTGTCCATCAGATGCTCCAGAGCTCGTCCCATCAAACTGATGGGACGTGACTGTAAACTCATAAAGTCCAAGTCTGGTTTCTCTGGTCCACAGAGGACAGATACTTCTGACGAATTGAGGAAAATACTCCAGTGTAATTTACACTGACATATTACCACATCCTGGTCTGACACAGCAGCGGTGGGAAGATTCATCAAAAGCACGTGTGTCTTAATATCAGACAGATTGTTAATAGGCTTTTGTGATGCGTTTCATTAACTCGCATTGGTACAGACACAAACAATGAGAGATTTGTAAAGAAAAAAAAAAAAAAATCTGTAAGCGACAGGATGAAGAGCTTTTGTCAGGGTGACAGATGCTGGCCTAATTTCTCCTCACTAATCTGAAGCACAGAGCTGCCGGCCGAGGATATTACCAAACACACAGATTAGATTTTCTAACTTATAAACAGTACATACAAATACACACACAACGGAAAATTAATGTTTTACCACAGGAACAAAAGCCCTGTTTTAGAGGCTTCACTGAAACTGTTCTAGGGCAATATTTATATATACACATATACTATATATATATATAACTTTAATTTAACACTGTATGATGTTTAACATATCATACAGTTTTTTTTTCCAAAGTCACTCCTAACATCTTTGGGTATATTTAAATTATTTTCTGACTTAAAAGTAAAAGTGAACCCAACCACTGTCTTTTACGAGCATTAATTTTTTTTTTATATTTTAGTTATTTTTTTGTTAGTCTTCAGCCACTTATCTTTAAGGTAATTTTATTTGAGTACGTTTATTTTTTTTATTAGATGACAGGACAGTTTTGTGTCTTTGTTAGAATTATGTTTTGTGTGTGTGTTTTTTTTTTCTTAACATTTGTAAATAAATCCATGCTGTGGAAATGTAAGACTTACGTGAAACAGAAGAACAGCGTGGTGGATCCAACCAAGAAGAAGGTGGCCGCCGACACGGGGACGTAGCGGGAGGGTCGCAGGGGTCTGTTGGCCGGGACGACGGAGTGTGGGAGGGGTGATGAGGATGGCCCCCGCCCTCCGCTCTTACTGCTGCCTCCTGGCATTACTTCCGGTGTTTGGCGTTTTTGTCATCCACGGTAAAGTTGCTTTTACTTTTTATGTGTACACACACGGGGGGAATGTAGTTAGAGAAAAAATAAGACGTAGAAAAAAAACAAGAACGATGCAGTAAAAGTCGCTGAAGGTGACGTGTGGTTTTTTTTGCAGATTTTGCATCAATTCTGATTAAGAGAGCAGGAGATTCAAATGAGGCTAAAAAAGCTCTCTCCCTGTTGGAAGGCTGGACTAATTATTCAGCCACAGATTCTTAGAGGTTGAGGCACATTAACACCACTGCTGTAACTGCATTTCCCTCAACATAACGTGACTGACTGTAAACACAGACCAAGGTCCAACATCACAGCAGTGACAAGGAAAAGATAACGAGACAATCATGTCAGAACCACGATTCAAGTGCAATCAAATATATAGCTGTTACTTAGACGTTGGACTTTTAAGATGAAACGCATAAATTAAGTTAATTATTAATGTGGTCCGACAGTGTGTGTTAGGTTGATCTGCGTACTATTGAAATGGGACATCGATGAGGTACCTGATTACCAGAGGTAAAGGTTTTGGCAGCAGACAGACTACAACAGCTAGAAATTAAGTAGATAGATGAGAGAACGCAGTGAACTAAGGTGGTGTTTGAGCGCCCCCTTTCTTTCTTAATAAGAACTAAGCAAGCAACTAAGAATAGAGGTTTTCTCTTAGCTGTAGTCCCAAAGAGTTTTCAGATGAGCAGAGTGTGCATCTGTGATTTTTTTTTTTTTTAAGTCCCTTTATCTTTCTGTGTTATGGCAGGAGAATGTAAGCTTTAGGTCCAGGGCTCAGGAGTCTGTAAAGGGGCCAGTGGAGTAGCCTGCTTTTCCTGTGTTGGGGCATCACTCAACCCTGCTGGTGGCTCCCACGGACCACTTCACCTGCTGGAGGCAGTGAGTTTGTGACAGCAGGAAGTGACAACAGTGATGTCCAAAGGAAGTGGAGGAACGTTCTGTTGAACATCCATCTGTTGCCATGTGAAACAAAGTGGAAAAAGCTGTTAGGACTGTATCAATCCAGAGAGCTCAACCTTAGCTCAACTTAGTCCCGTCCATCGGTGTCCTTGCTTCACTCTGTTGGTGGAGCATTCCAGCAACAAAGCTTTTTGTCTTCAGAAATTTCCAGGGATTTCCTTCCTTCCCGCACAGTGCCTGGCTTGGACTTTCCAACAATAATCTCCTGGATACTTTGGCCCCTCCAGTGCAATGGAACAAAATGAAAATGACCAACCAGAGACTGTTATCTTAATGTGTGAAGGAACTGTGTGCTCCGCGCTCTTCGTCTCAGCAAGCACTTCTCCAGCCAGAGCTGTTGTGGCAGTAATATAAAAAAAAAAGTCTCAAAACAATTGATTGTCAGTCAGGACTCAAAACCTAAAGAGGAGAAAATATTTGGTTAAAATCAATATTTTATACAGCACACAGAGAAACAGTAAACTAGGCTTCAGAAAAAAATGCTCATCAGTTATTAAATAAACTTATAATTGTCCATAAGACATAAACATACATAAATATAATTAAAAATAAATCATTTATAATTAATGTTCTAGCTGAGCTTTTATATGATGTAAACTACACATCAGATTTGCAGAGAAACTCAAAGATTCAATGACATCAAGAAATAAATATTAATATTTTTGTTTTCAATGATGACATTAATTAATAAATGTAAATATAAAACTTCAAAAATATGATGAAGACAAAGTAGAACTGGGACTGTACAACTCTGCCTTCTGCTACACAGACTGGCGTATAGTGTATAGTCCACTGCCATAGTCTGACCAAAACCAAAACTAAGCACTTTTAATGCTTTTTGGTAAAGACACCATCAGCACTTTCAAAAAAGGCCAAGAGACGAATTAGCATAAATTTCCCTGAACTCTCGCTGTTCCGGAAAAACACAGCCAATCCAAGAATGACCAAATTAGATTACTTAAAGTAAAGTCTGGTAATGAAGAAAATAAGTTACAACAGTTCAATTATATGACTCGCCTGGAGAGAGGAGAAAAGAAGAAGAGGAAGAGGAAAAAAACAGAGTGTGTTTTAACTCAAGAGTGTTTTAACTCAAGAACTGTTGCCAAGTAGATAAGATCCCTTCTGGGTGACCAGTCTCTGTAAATTGTTGCACGCCCAAATGCTGGAGACAAGATAAACATGTTTCAATTTGTCAGGCCCCGAGAAATGTGCCCACAGGTTGCCTGACAGAGCGGGTTATAGTCTGGACTCTCCGTTGTGGATGGTTATCAGACAGGACACATAACACAAAACACTAGCATGGGCTGTTAATTACACCCTGTTTGCCAAAAAAAAAATTGCATTTAATCTGAAAACTGCATGAAGCTCTTTCTGTAAGGTAGAAAATTCTATTTTAAAAAAACCCAAAGCAGTCATGACATTTCAGATACACAGACTGTAGGATGTGGTGCAGCCCCTTCAGGTGGCTGGCACACACACACACACACACACACACACACACAGTGGCTCATGCTTACATTCATGCCATGCCACACTGTCTGAGATACAGTATTTGCGGCAGGGTGCGGTTGAACAGGTGTACCTAATGTACAGTACACGCTATACTATAGTATAGTATAGTAAGTGTAGTACAACAACCTTCCTGCATAAAGGAGCAGATGCATTACCGGAGCATTTGTAATATTCTTCACTGGCGCTAATGCAGCCAACACCGGAGTCGGATAGAAACCTGGGTGTGGACAAGTGATGAGTAGGGATGCTGCTTACAGCCCCGGTGATGGGGGCTTTACAAAAGACGATTAAATGTGTAATGCAAGCGTCTTATTACATCTGCGAGTATCTTAACTAAGACAAAGGCTTGAGTTTATATTATTAAAAAAAATAATGGCAAAATGAAATAAAATGAAATGAACGTCCAGTGGGTGGAGAAATGATGTTACACTAAAACCTTCATGTTTCTTTATTTTAATGAGGTTTTATTATTGCTACTTTCAAGTAAAACAAAAAAATGGAAAATATAAATATTGTAAAACACAATTGTATATTTCAAATTGAGCATAAATGTAAGGTTAACGTTGGCTGCATTTCGTGCAGCGTTAGCAATAGCCGCGGCTAGCTGCTACTGCCTGGCTAACAGACCATCTCACCTGACAGACGCTCCTCAGCCGCCTGTGCTCCAAACGCGGTGACCGTTTACTGCAAAAAAAAAAAAAAAAAAAAGCGTCCCCCGAAATGACAGGAATCCACACACAGATGACACGTAGCGGTCCGTTTTAGGCAGTGCCTTCGGAGGAGTCAGCAGAGGAGGATCCGCTGCAGCTGCCCCGGCAGTTAGCCTCTCTACCCAGCGGTAGCTAGGCTAATAGTCGTTCAGATAAATGGTAGATTTAACTCCCCATGGCTCTGGTACGACTGTAGCTGTGTTCTCATTGAGAGGGCTGCACTAATACTCGGCTGCAATATTCTCCCGGAAGCTGTCAAATTACGTCACAGTGTGAGAGTGACCGTGGGCCATATTGACCACATTATTATTAACATGTATGATGTGAGCATACGAGCACATTTCGGGGAAACGGATTTTTTAAAATGTCTATGAGGCAACTGGACGTGAATTTTCTAAAAGAAGACGTTTAATCTTCTAAACGTTGTAACTGTTTTTTATTGTTTTTATTTTTATTTATTTTTAAATGTCATTTCTCTGGTCCTTTTAGTCTCGCGTCGTTGCCTTCACGTGATTTTGGAAAGATGGTAAATGTAACTTCTCGATTGGGAAATGGGAACGAATGCGGCTTTCACGTGTACCTTGGAGTTATGAGTGCTTTATGATCACGTGTTTTAATTGTCTGCGCAAAATGGAGCATCGATTAATAGGAAGACAAAGATTTTTGTAACTTTCAATAAAAATTACTAATTCAGTTACTCTCTTTTGGATTAGTTTATACGTTCTTAGATTAAATTTTAGATGTGGCATTTTTCTGTATTCTTTGTGTCAAAAACACATCTTACCCACATTTTGGAACTGCTGCAAAAAAATAAATAAAAATAAAATAAAAAACCTAGTAATTGATTAATGTTTAACAACAAAGATAGACAGACATCATTCCAACCACAATAAAAATCCATATGAAACTTTTTTTTTAACAAAAAGTAACTTTAATGTAGCCGATTTACATATGAAAAATTCCAAAATGGATTCATCCAACAGTGTTTCTCCATGTTATGTTGTGCAAACTGGTCTTGTCATCACCAAGCTCAGCATGTGATGGAACAGGAGATTATCAAATACGCAGCAGGATTGTGATACTGTCAAAATGCATCAAATCTCTGTGGATTTTTTTTAACATCTTTTGGAATTAATGCTACATAAAATACAGAGGTTTGTAGGTGGCGTCTTAACCAAGATGTATGTAGTAAAGTAGCACGTTAGCTAACCAAGACAAGGTCAAAACAAACCACATCGCCCCGTCAAACCAAAGACAAGGTCAATACAAACCACATCGCCCCGTCAAACCAAATGCTGGCTCTGAAAATATTTAAAATATCCCTGACTCACAAAAAACGAAATCCTAACTATTAAATATGATCACATGTCTATTGTGATGAGTATCCATTGGCTGTGTTCCCACTGTTCTTGGTTTGAGTCTCTGATTGGCTGAGAGGCGTGCTGTCATTGTCCTGTTTTGCGGCCAGTATGTCACGTGCTGCCTTTGCTCTGATGAGGTTTCTTCTGTGATAGAAGAGATAACCCGGCAACAGGAAGCCAGTCAGGGAGAAGATGAGGAGGCCAAGATTGATCTGTCGTGAGAAGACACAGCTCACTGCATCCACTGGACTCTACAGTATCTACAGTAGTTACACTAGTAATCCTCCACTCTACGTTGGTGTCAGCTTCAGACATTAGAGAGGTTTCTGTTAGCTATTGTCATTTACCCTTCTGTGACTATCAAAATACTTATTTAAAAATAACTTCTTAAACAAGAAAAAAATCCAAAAACAAACCTTAATAGTAAAAAACAACAAAGAAAAAAAAGAGAGAAATGCTGGCAGAAATTTCATCAAATTGTAATTTTGCTAAAAATTCACCTCCACATAGATTTAATTTAATAAAGATCCACAATAATCAATAAATAAATAAATAAATCACTGTACATCTGAACATTTTTAAAACCCTGCATGTGTTTTTGTTTTTTTTTACCCAGTAAGGATCTCCTCGAAGGTGTCCCACCATGAGTACGAACAGTGGTTGTTGGAGTAGCGCAAATGCGGCGCTGACCATCGACTGCATGCCTGTTAGCGTCCCAAAGTGGTTAGCAGGATAACTGGAATGGAACAGGTGTGGGGATATCGTTTTTAAAATATATTTTTAGACATAAAGAACATTGGAAGAATATTATTTATAAGTTTTTCTACATTTGACAAATTTGTATTTTTGTAGCGCCCCCAACGTTTTGTACTCACACGGCGGCGTAGAGGCCTCCACAGCAGGAGTGAATGAAACCTCTGACTATAGTGTGCAGCACAAATGACACCATCTGAAGGGAAACACACGATCAGGTAAGAAACACAATCACTTCAACCCCACAGGCAGTTATTGTCTCACCTGCAGCGGCAGGTTGTCAATCAAGGAAAGGATTCCGAACGTGACCAACAGGAGGTTGGTGAAGATGAAGGCCCTCATGGCATTGGTCAGTTTCTGGACCTTTCGGTCTCTCTTCAGGGGATCTGATATTCTAAAGGCAGTAAAATATGTTTATAATTTTAAAACCTTTTTAGCTCTTTAAACATTTGTCTTAGCTATTAACCTTGTTATGACATTTTCTTTTTTTACATTGAAGGCAGTAAAATATGTTTTTTAAACATTTGTCTTAGCTATTAATTTTGTTATGACATTTTCTTTTTTTACATTTTGTTAATAATTGTCATTTTCTATTTATAATAATTTAATTTAGTCATCATTCGACAACTTTTTAGACATTATTTTTGTTCAGCTGGATGTTTTCCACCATTGCAGAATTTTAGGCTTGAAAAACATTTTGTAGGATTTTTTTTAATATTTCCAATCTTGCTAAAGAGGAAAGTTTGAAAAATATAAAATAACATTTTATTGTTCCAGTGATGAAGAAACCTGCAGTAAACAACATCTCCAGCAGGAGGAGACACCTCTGCTCTGTCGCTGTGTTTGTGTTCTCCTCTTCACACTCCTTCATTCTCCAGTCCATGATGTAGCCGATGGATGGACAGGTCAGGAGACAGAGGAGCTGCATGACGCCGAAGATAGAGGAGTAGAAACCAACTGTTGTGGAAACAGAGGCGGAGTTGGGAACTGCAGCTGTAGACGTCTTAAATACCTCGTAGTTAGAGACAGATGAAGACAGACGTGGTGATTCTTACCTTGTTCTTTCACCTCGTTCTGTAGCTCTGCTGAGGCTGAAAAAAAAGATATAAAATAAATATGCATTTTAACACTAGGTGGCGAGTTTGCATGGGGTGTTAAACTCATTTTGTAAAACCATAACATAGTTACATATAAATAACAAAAAAATCTGTATTTTCCCAATTGTTTTCATGCAAAACAGTGCATTAGCTCATGTTTTCATGGTCCATTAAGAATGACCGATAGTCAAATCCAGGACGTCATAAGTGGAAACTGTGCCCAGAACATCTCATAGAGGTGACATCTGCTGACCTCCTGTATCCAACTGTTTCATTCTTCTTTATAAAGACAACAATTTGGCCCATTTACAGCTATGGATTATGGTCAGCTAAAGATTAGATGTTTTTTTTGTTTTTTTTTCTGGAGCTCGTTATTGCACCAGACGGCGAGAGAGAGAGTGACCCTTTGTTTGACCAGACCAGCCACGGCCTGCTGTGGGCCCAGGGCAAAGTTGAAAAAAAAAAAGTCTGGAGTTCGTTATTGCACCAGACGGCTCTATTTCCAGTGAGCCTTTGTTTGACCAGACCAGCCAAGGTCGAAAAGTTGAAAAAAAAAAAGACATTGTTTAGTTGTTGTGGTTCTTACGGTTGGGGTCTCCATGAGTGACCAGGAACTCCACCATTTTATTTATGGCGCCCATGAAGAAGATGAGTCTCAACTGAGTCATGGCCATGGTGATGACGCTCCAGAGGAAGATTGGTGAGCACACGGAATGACAAAGTGGCACGGAGCCTGAAGAAGAAGAAGAAGAAGAAGAGGAAGAAGAAGAAGAAGAAGAAGAAGAGGAAGAAGAAGAAGAAGAAGAAGAGGAAGAAGAAGAAGAAGAAGAAGAGGAAGAAGAAGAAGAAGAAGAAGAGGAAGAGGAAGAAGAAGAAGAAGAAGAAGAGGAAGAAGAAGAAGAAGAAGAAGAGGAAGAAGAAGAAGAAGAAGAAGAGGAAGAGGAAGAAGAAGAAGAAGAAGAAGAGGAAGAGGAAGAAGAAGAAGAAGAAGAAGAAGAAGTTTAAATGATCTGAGCTCCAACTGTAACATACTCAGTGTTGGACAGTGATGTCCTCACCCTGGACTGGACCTTCAGAGTCCATCTGATCTGGCTCTGGTCTCCTTCCGTCCATCATGTCTTTCATGAGGGTGACGTGAGTGATGTATCTGTCTCCAGTCACCTTGTCTTCTGTCACTACGCCACTTAGTTTCACTGATTTACTGAATGAGTAAAAATAAAAACATGGGCTTCATTTACGACTGAATCAATTAGTCAATCAATCAATACATGTGTTATTGATTTATTACTTTTCATTACCTACTTCAGTACTACATGTTTACACCGTTTCAGAGTATTACTGCGTGTATTCCTGTGTATTTTGTTCTTGCTTGCTCCACTGACTGTGTTTTTATGACTCACTTTATTTAGCCTTCGTTTTTATTGCTCCACTACTGAATCTAATTATTTTACTCACTGTATTTATGCTCTTATTTTTATTATTGTCTTATATTTTTCTTACTCACTGTATTTTGTTTTTCTCTTGATCATTTTTCATCTTCATAGACTTCCTGTTTCCCCAGCATTCTCACCTCTAACTGCGTTTGTTTTGTTGGGTTGTTTAACCATCTCATGGTGAATAAAACCAAACTGAACACTGTGGGGCAGCAGAGATTTAACGGTACTGACGTGTGTCTGACGTCCTCCGGTGCAGGGAAGGACTCTGCGGGCCAATTCAGGAAGCAGTTGAGGAAAACGATGCAGGCCATTCCAGACCACACCCACATGATGACGTGGAAGGGAATGCCAAGGTCATAGATCAGCTGGAAAATGAACGGGAAGAAGAGTAGGAAACGGGAGTTAGGAAAGAGGAGAGGAAGACTAAAACGTCAGAAATGTTTTTCTTATTGTTTGTTACTTTGACACCAGGGAAGGTGACGGCTGACGACGCGTACGAGCCAATCATCAGGGAGAGGATCGTGGCCCGGATGTTTCCAAACATGTTTGGCAACTGTAAAATTAGGGGAAAAAAAAGTTAAAAAATTTTCATTTAAAATGTATCAAGTTAAAATAAAATAAATTAGACAACTGATATTATTGTCCAACAGTATACAGTCCTAGTGACGGACAGTTAGTTCTACTGTTTCATTTGTTTTCTCAAGTTTTTTAAAGTTTTTTTCAGACTAACTTATCAAAGTTTATACAGCTGTTGGCAGCTGATCTGGTTACACACACACACACACACACACACACACACACGACATGTGTCTGATAACACACGTTACAGAAACACTGTTGTTTGGCTCAATGTTCTGAGAAGGCACAGAAAAACTGGTACAATTACATACAACACAATACTGTATGTGACTGTACTGCACAGTACACAACATACTACACAGTACACAACATACTGTAGGAACAGAGTACTGTAGCCTGTTTGTTTTGGTCGTTTATGTCCAAGCAGGAAATTCCATATTTAGTTCAGCATAAATCCCTTGTTTTATGAAATGATATATTTAGTTCAGCATAAATCCCTTGTTCACTATAAGACACAACACTGACACCACAGGCCTGTCATGGTATTACAATAAGAAAAAAGAATACAATTAAAAGAATCATGCAGACCAGTTCAATGTCACTGTGTGTGAGGGAATCGTACTGTGAGTGAGGTGAAGGTCAGGCAGATTCCTCCAAAACCGTTAAAAGAGACGGCGATGAAGATGAGGAAGGACAGCACTGTCGGACCAGATGAAAGATTTCATCAAATCACTCCTTCGATAATTTCACTTTACAATTTTTCACGGCAGCAGGTCCGCAGCTACAGACAGTTTAGGTGTTGAGTGACTTCAGTCATCTCAGTTAATACTGCGTTCTCTAAATACAAACTATTCTCATTTACTACCTGGGTCTTCTGTGAATGTGACATATTTCAGTTGTACTTTGCTCTAAGTCCACAGTAGAGTTTTAGATCCCAGAGTCCGTCTCACCTTCAGGGTTGTACGCGGCCGTTGCCATCATTGCACAGGAGGCTGCAAAACAGGAACTGAAATCCATAAACACACAGGCGACTGATGAAGAGAGTGTGAAGGGAGTGTATGTAACTTTTTGTCAATATCCGATACCGATATTTCCCATCACCTAATTTCAGATTCCAATATAGGCCTGGTTATATTTATTTGTTTATCTGTACAAACCACTGTATTCTTCCATACAATCCCCTGATTATAAAACTAGATTAATAAAATGAGCTGCAATGCTGCCATCTAGTGACTTTCATTTTAATATACAGCCGTTTTTCTCCAAAACTATTTTTTAGGGCACAAAAAAAAAATATAAATATAAATATAAATATAAATATAAATATAAATAAATTAGGCAAAACCCAAGCATTGCGTTATCAGGTAATCATTGTTGGGGGAAAAAACAAAAACGATCTTTACATACAGTATATTACACAATTATGCTAATGTCGGAGAACCCTAACGATACGAAATTTATTTATTTATTTGAATCAATATTCCTATATATTATTTTAGTTAATTTGTTATAAGAAATAAAAATGAAACATGGGATAATTTTGATCAGGCCTGACAGACGATCCACGGTTGATACCTGCCGACCAGCCTCAGTGGGCGTGGCCCATATCGATCCATCAAGATGCCCAGCGGAAACGTGGCAGCACTCAACAGGAACGAGCCAATGGTGAAGCCGAGATTCAAGGTCTCCTCCTGCTCCACGCAGCTCCTCCACCCAGAACCTTCTGAAGACGTGGCATTAGTGCTGAGTGTGTCATTTCCTGAAGAGAGAGAATTGTCGCACAAACACGTCAGAAAAGGTGAGTTTCAAACTGTTCCTAACCACAAACACACACACACACGAGGAGAGGCCGTTTTTACCGACGCAAATGTGGGAATAGAAGCCTTCGCTCTTGAGCATGATGAGGAGTGAGGCCCAGCCCAGCAGAACGGCAGAGAAGAGCAGGTTCTCCAGGATGGCAGTGACAGCCATCCACCACCTCCGCCTGTACGCCTGAGCCAGACTGGGAGCCATGGCAGCTGGAGGTGCAACGAAGAGCAGAGAGATTCCCAACCACTGGTCCGTGGAACACTAGTGCACCATAAGAGATCATTAGGTATGCCGTAGAAAATGATCAAATTTCAATTAATTGGTCAGAGAACTATTATTTATTTAATATTTTTTCTTTGTTTGTCAATGTGTTACAAGCAGAGCAATTAAATTATTTTCCACTAGGTGGCAGCAGATGGCTACAAAAACTAAAAAAAAACATCATCAGAGCTGTTGAAGAAGATCTTTGTGAGTGTCTTTCTTCAATTCCTGCCAGTATATTAGTGTTGTCTTCAACCAAACAGGAATACATTTTTACTAAACATATACGTTTTGTGAGGTTTTTGTTTGGCGGTGGCCGTGGGGTTTTTCCTTCTTCAGTCTGTGAACTGAAGCCCAGTTCTGTCTGTTGTTTCCAGTTATATTTCAGTTGATAAAACGTCCACTGTGGATAATCATCTCTATCTTTAAACGGAGAAATTACAGCGATGGATTGATGTGTACGAGTGGCAGATGGACGGAGTTGACGTGACATCAGCTCATGACTGTGAATCCTGTAAAGGACGTGAGTGAAGTGTCAGAGAGGGCGCAGGAAGATGACACCTGACAGCTAAGACGGTTCACACCACGTCATCTTCAGATTTAGCTGGACCTGCAGCTATCGAGTGTCATCCACTGTATATAACCACACACACACACACACACACACACGACCCCTAAGATAAATCAGTGACTCAGAGCGAGTCCTGCTGCTCAATAGTTTGAATATTTGAACACATTTGAATGTCAATCTATCTGTCTATATTATATTTATTTTTTTCTTTCTAAAACCTGGGTGTACCGTTGTGTCGGCCTGTGCTCTGGGCTGAGTTTTCACCCCAGGATTTGACAGCGGTGCGAGAACGTCTGCAGGTGCCTGCTGGAAGTTTCCTGCGAGTTAATGTTCTACAGGAGAAGTTGGTCAGGATTAATGTTCTGCCGTTCCCCTCGAGGACAAGAACACAGAACTGGGACCAACAATAACAACTCTAGTTTGGGGCAGCTCACATCCACATGTTCAGAACAACCAATCAGCTGAGGCCCTCCGTGAAACGTGTGCATGTTTGCCTAAAAATAAACTACCGTTATACAGTGAAGGCAAAGTGCGGTGACATTTATTAAAAATAATGTCCCCCTCAACTGTATTTTTGCAGACTACTGTAATGCAGTAACACAGACTGACCACACGAGGCAGCAGCAGAACACTGTGTTGTTTGATGGAGCTAAACGCAAAAAGGTCAAATTTTACAAATATTATGTGACAATTTATTTTTTAATTGTCACACTTGAAAGGTGTCAAAAAAAATAACCTACTGACAGGGAGACGTCTGTTTAAATCCCTACTGTTCTCTACATGTCCAGTCCTGGACACAGCACTGACTCTGATGTGTTTCTGCAGCGTCAGGGCAGTTCAGATTAAAGCGACACCTGCGGTGGAACTGTCTTTTACAGAGTAACGCTCATGTTCAGCAGTGTGAATGACTTACAGAGGCAGACGTTCGGCCCAGTCTTCACTTCTACGTCCAACAAGAAAAAAACTCAATTCTCTGATTGATCTCTGCTCCTGACGCTGGTCTGAGCGTGTCCTTCCCTTCAGCCATGTGGTTCAAACAGTGTTCACTCACACCCACGCTGTCCAAGTCCAAAAGGAGCTCACACACACACGCACACACGCACACACACTGGAAACAGGTGCACCTGTGGAAAAAGAAGAATGATTGCGAAATCGAATATTTTGTTCCAGTTACAGCAGAAACACATTCTTATAAAATTATTTCTAAAATACATTTTGCGCAACTTTTTCTTAAACTCCAGTATTTTTACTGCCAAATTCATACACAATGTATATGTAAATTACAAATATATATACACATATATTTAGCTGTTAATATACAGACATACATCCAGAGCCGTATGTTGTCAGATATTCAGAGGCCGAGACAGGAAGTGTTTGTTTTTTCTTTTTTAATTTAATCTAATTGGCGTTTATTCAATTGTCGTTCAAGAAAATAAACGTTCATTTACAGCAACACGACAAACGTCCGACTCTTCAGTCTTCACCTCGACACAGGACTTAGTTACACACACACTCCAAACTACATCGTCATGACATCAAAGACACATATGCAGAACCGTGTGAACGAACACAAGTAGAAAACAATGATGAAGTGCAGTGACGTGTTGGTGTCTGAGGAACATTAAACAGAGAAAAAAAAATTAAAATAAAATAAAAACAACATGTGACGAGAGGAAAATACAGAAATCTTTTTTAAATAATAGAACACATGATGTCTGTCAGAGTTGAATAATAACAGATCTGTACGTAAACCTTTTATACATTTTTTTTATTAGATGTAAGGAATGTAAAATATGTCTAGGGAAAAAAACCCATTCAAACCTTTTTGCTTTTGTATGGAATATTTTTAAAAAACAAACTAAAATCTATTTAATGCACATAATTCAGAAAAAACAATATAAACTTAAACCTTGAAAAGGAAATGCATTTGGAAAAGCATTAAATAAAAAGATTTTAGATCATATTATTATTATTATATATTAATAAAACAATTTATTTAAAAATGAAACAAAGATAAAATGGCAAAACCTGAGAAAAACAGGATTTTTTTTCTCTCTCAGATTCTTTCAACAAGTCAGTATTTTCTCCTGTGGAGAAACTGAACGTCAGCAGTGAAGACGTTAAAAACGATGACAAAATAAGGTCACAACTGTACGGAGAAAGGACCAGAGGAGGGAAGTAAGGAAGGGTTACTGGTAGTGTTACTGGTACACTGCTCATGGATACAAACTGATAGAGGTGAATTACAGACAGAAGGCTCGGGGTGCTAACATTTACACCATGAAGCAAAAATTCATTTCTATCTTCTATTTTTTTTTTTTTACATAAAAATTCCAACTTAGGTCACATCGGTTTCTCAAGTCCTGCTCCCCAACGTCCACAATAGTAAAAATAAAGAGTTGCTCCAAACATTTCCTCCCTCACACATGGAATGTTCTTGTTGTACTAACACCACCGTCAGATGCCGTTTGTTGACTGTGTATTAGAGGTCATTTATTTTTTTTGGTCATCGATTCAAACTGACTAAGGAATAAGTAGCGTTGGCTGGACACGTCTGTCGTCTCGTTGTGCACAATGATTTAAAGCTTTTTTTTTTTTTAACCTTTAATTGGAGAAATGATTCATAACGTTGACGTGAAAACTGCTGTCATGGAATAATCACAAGAGGTGGTTTTAAAACTCAAGGACTTGGTCTCCTCCTCACAGACACTGGTGATTGAGACGACACAGTGACGGTGCAGCTGAAACCAGAGTGAGTGCAACACCGTGGACGGCTCTGTGCCTTCTTCAGTCACACACACTCACTTTGTTGGTAAAAGGTGCTACATGAAGCATCTGTATCAGCAGTTTTGGTTTGTTTTTTTCTCTATATGAACGTGCAGTTTAGTTCATGGTGTGAAATGTTGACGGTTGAAGTACTGACGTTTGTTTTTAAATATAAATATACATCTATATATAGATATATTAGACACATTAAGCATCAGTGTTACATAATAGTGTAAATTCAAGGCTAAAAACAAAAATCCCAAGGGGAAGTTAATGCATCGTCCAGCAGAGGGAGCCTTAAGCACAGGCAGGCAAATTCAACACCCAGAACTGGAAATAGAATTATAATAAAATATAACATATGCAACTGAGTTCCACAGTTGTGGAACATTTACTGTTGTTCTGTGCTGCTCATTTACTGAAGCGCACGCCTAACCACAGGGTTTGTGTTCATTCTGATTTGTTTGTGAGATCTTGATCTCAGAACATCTATAAAGACATTTAATAAAATTGACGTTTTGTTCTACTTTTTGCTCCAATTTTTTTCTTCAAATGTTAATCTTACCAAGTGGCACAAATAGGAACAGAGGCAAAGCCCCTCCACTGACCTCTGGTGGTGAACTAGTGTACAGGTAACAGACCTGTGGGTCACTGTGGACAAGTCAAAACTGCCCTCATTGGATCAATCTGTTCACACACAACTCCTTTTTGGCTTTAAGGCAATTTATTTTCAAATAACAATTCTCCACGTCTTCATGCTAATATCTGTCGTGCCACCAGTGACGGTTTAAGTGAATGGATGAACAGAGTTAATGAGCTGCACCTAGCACCCTTTTTTAATTTAAGTTAAAGTCATGTCCAAACGCGCCCTCAACTTCCTGTCTCAGATTTCTTTTTTTTCTGATTGTCTACGTGCTAAACAACCTTCAATAATCTTTTTCAATTTCTCAACTCCTCGTCCACTCTTATCGTTCCTCCGTTTCCCGCTTCTCCTTGACCCTCACCTTGTTCGCTCCTTACCTCCTTCCTCCCCACAGTCGCCCCTGTTCCTCCCATCACCCCCAGAAGATGTTGGTGATGTCAGAGTCCAGACTAAAGATCCAAAAGACCAGCGGCGCTGAGATTAGCATGAACGACCAGGATACATCTTTGACGGAGTGACGTAGTCGTTTCACCAGGCCACTGACCAATCCTGCGTTTGCGACTTCTCTCTCCAGCTGCTCCTCCTCCACCGTCTGTTTGTGAAATGTAAAGGATTAGAATCAAAGAATTCTACAAAGTGGAACATGTAGAGTTTTACTCTCCCCAGTACAATTTCTAGAAGAACAGAGGTGCTGTAGATTTGCTGACCTGGATCTGATTCCCTGGGTCAACGTAGTTGCGGGCGAGAAACTTGAGTGCCTCATCTAAGAAAATAACAGGAAGTGACATCTTCAGCACCACCACCCACTGAGACCAGGACAGAGGACGAATCTGGAAGATCACCTGCAGACGTTGACAGACTGTTAGGAGGAACTGAATATAAAAGACTTATTTTTAGGTATTTCTTTGTCTGATCTGTGGTGTGTTGGATAAACACATACCGGCAGAGGGTCGACATAAAGAATGAGGAAGTGTAAAGCCATGGACAGACAGATGGCGCCCACCAGCCACTGATTCGACCACGGAGGCATTTTGAGCAGAGACTGGTTTTCTGAGAGACTGAACAACACGAGAAAACATTCAACACAACACAGTTAACGTCTGTTTGGCTTCATACAGCTCCAACACACCGTCAGAGTATGAAATTCAACTGATTTCCTTCTAGGATCGTAAAGGCATCACTGGCACCATCTGGTCAACTGCTGCAGTAACTAGAGTAACTAGTCTTGTTCTTTTTTTTTTACCTGTTTAAGGCATTGCACATCTCGATGGTGACCAGGACAGACAGAGCCATGGTCATGGGGTACGGAGACTCAAAGACTGAACACTGAACTCCTGCAAACTCAGCGTGGCCTTCGCGGCACTGCAGGTAGTGGGACTGTAGGAAACAGGAAGCATTCATTTAAACAGCCATATCACTTCCTGTTTACATGTCGACAGATACGAAAAACAATCGAATGTTCAGGTAAAACAGCAGTAAGATTTAACTATTTTGTATTTGTATTTATATTATTTGTTATAGAGGGACAATGTATATTAATGAACATTTAAAGGTAAAATGTAAATGCACACAATCGTAGCCACAAGGCTAATTTCCATTGGCCAGAAGGAGCATGACAATGTAGCATGGTAGCGACAAGCTACGAATTACATAAACGGCCAGAGGACATGAGTACAGATGTTCGTACCAGCTGGTAGTAGGAAACTTTAGGTCCATCATGGGCTGCTATGAACCACCAGGCAGCAGCTCCTACTGTGGCCGCTCCCACGTAACCTGCACAGGAGAAGAGTCAGTCTTAAAGTACTGGTAACAAACTGACTAACTTTGTAGCTTTATGTTTGCTTACAAATTAGCTACAACTTTAACCTTTCTGCTACTATTAAACTTTATATTGTTAATATATATATATAACTACAGAAACATTTTTTTATAATGTCTTTTATTATTGTTAATATATTTATAACTAAAGAAACATTTTTTTATAATGTCTTTTATATTTTTAGTCATCCCTTCTATATCTCTTTACTATAACTCTTTATTTTTATATTGATATAAGGTAACGTTGAAAATCCCAGCTTCTGTTCATGGTACTATTATGGATGCGTCCGATGACTCACAGCCGATGATGAGGTAGCGACAGAAGAGCCAGCCAGAGATCAGAGGCTCTTTGGGAGAGCGAGGAGGGCGGGACATGATGTCCAGATCTGGAGGGTTGAAGCCCAGAGCTGTGGCAGGAAAACCATCAGTGACCAGGTTGACCCACAGCAGCTGCACTGGGATCAGCGCTTCAGGCATGCCCAGAGCAGCGGTCAGGAAAATACTGGAGAGGAGGGAAAAAACACAGACGATATTCAGTCGACCTTAGAGTTATTGTTTTATTAAAACATGAATGATCTGTCATTTGTTTGGTCACTAACCAGACCACCTCTCCAATGTTTGAAGAGATCAGGTATCTGATGAACTGCTTCATGTTGTTGTAGATGGCTCTGCCTTCTTCAACTGCTGCCACGATGGTGGAGAAGTTGTCGTCAGCCAGGATCATCTCAGACGCCGACTTGGCCACTGCTGTGCCGCTGCCCATAGCGATGCCGATCTCTGCCTTCTTCAGAGCCGGCGCGTCGTTCACGCCGTCACCTGTCTGAAAATATAGAAGAAAAAAAATCCAAAGTCAGACCGGGTGGTTCATAAACGTCCAAGATCAGGGTTAGCCACACGGACTACGTGCCCACCATGGCGGTGATGTCATTCAGACTCTGCAGATACTCCACAATCCGACTCTTGTGAGTCGGCTCCACGCGAGCAAAGCAACAGGCCGTTCTGCAGGCCTGACGCTGCAGGTGAGGGGGCAGCTCGTCAAACTCCCGACCTGTGAGGCCCCCGGTGGCTCTGTCTCCCCCCTGCTCCTCCTCCTGCTCTGTGATGATGCCCACCCTCCGACAAATGGACAGCGCAGTCCCTTTGTTGTCTCCTGCACAGAGCAAATCCTTTATGCATTAGAAATTGTTTGCGTTGATTTCAGCTGATTTGCTACATCTGTTTTTGATCACATTATATTTTGGGAACATTTTAGCAGTTTATGACAACAATCTTTACAGGTAATACCTTTTCCAGCTTTTATTTTCCTTTCGTTTTGGCTAATTCCTGACAAACTTTACCTGTGATCATGATGACTCGTATGCCAGCCTGACGACACATCCGTACTGCATTGAGAACCTCTTTCCTGGGTGGGTCCAACATCCCCACGCAGCCCACAAAGGTCAGGTCCGACTGGGAAGAATGATCAGGAGTAGTTTATGTCAGTGGTCATTTTAGGTGGTCAGTTATTTCTAAAAAGCTTTGGATACGAGTGAAGGTCGACAAACACACAATGAGAGAATGATATGAAATCTTTTTTTTTTTATCCGATCATCACCTCGTATTCAGAGAAGACAGCTGAGTTCTCCAGGTTGAGGCAGTGGACCTCGGGGGGCATGTCTCTCGTGGCCATGGCCAGACAGCGTAGTGTGTCTCGCCCCGACCCCCACTCTCTCACCATGGACAGCAGCTGCTCTCGAACTGCAGGGCTCATGGGCACGCGAGTAGAACCACGGACCCGGATGTAAGTGCAGCGTTCCAGAACATTCTCTGGCGCCCCCTGCAGAACAATGAGATAAAAAACAAACAAACAAAAAGAGTGGGGTTAGAAACAGGTTTTTGTCCCCAGTGGAAGTGGAAACATTCCTTTGTTCAAACACAGATGGTTGACTGACCTTAATAAACATTTTGTTTCCAGACGTAGACCTGGTGAGTTTGTTATAGGAACAGAAGACAGACATGGACTTCCTGTCTCTGGAGAACTCCAGTGTGAGCTCCTTCTTCATCAGCTGCTTGATCACCTGAAAAACAAAAACTCCGTCATAACAGTTTGTCTTTTTTTGTGCGGCTGAATCACAGACGGTGAATCACTCACAGAGCAGCACGCTGTTGCTCTCTCTGCGGGACTCAGTCTTCTCAGGTCTGTGTCAAACACATTCATTTTCTCAACCAGACAGCAGAGGGCGGTCTCCGTTGCCTCTCCAACCTTCTCATACACACCCTTGGCCTGGAATACACACACAGACATAAACAAACAAACAAACACACACACAGTTAGCGTTAGCTTTGTGACCTGGTTATTTACCTTTTTGTTACGACTGTGACAAATTAAAGTAAAAGATAAGTTGAAATAACTAAAGGTTGGAAACATAAAATAAAATAAACCAAAAAAAACAGCATGACGTAAAGGTGGTTTACACTAAACGCTGAAACCAGTAAAACTAGCTAAAAAACAACAAAAGTAAAAATAAAGTTACAACAAGATTGTTACGACTGTAGAAAAAATTAAAGTAGAAGATAAGTTGAAATAACTAAAGGTTGGTCATATCCACACAGACAAATGAGCTCATAGTGAAGAAAACAAATGTGCACAGATGGTGTATTCCAGTTTGTGGTTTTTAACCTCGTTGTAGTCCAGCGATGAGTCGTTGCACAGAGCGCAGATGGAGGCCAACTCCACCAGACCCTCGTATCGACTACACTTCACCACCGCACCGTCTTTGTAGCTGTGGACAGTAACGGAGGGAGGGGACGGTGGGGGACAGCAGAGACAATGTAGATGAGACATGGATGAAGGTTAAAACCAGACACGTGTTAATTCAAAGGTTATTGACGCTGGAATTATTCATTAGTGGTTATTTATCTAAGATCAGTGAACAGTTAGTGCTAACAGCCTGATTTCAAGAGTGTTGCTCCACAGAAACTACAAGGAGATAGTACTGAACACTATATGACAATTATGACTGCAAAAATATGCATTTCCATGTCTTTTCTCTTCAAACATTTTAAAATCAGGCTTTCAAAGGTTAAAGGTTAAAGGTTAAAGACACTCACACTTCCCCTTCAGGGGCGTAAGTAGATCCCGTCACTGTGAATTCACTGAGACGGCAGTGTTCCCCCGCCACACTGTCCACTACACACATCTGGACACACACACAGATACATGCACATTTGAGAAGAACATCTTGTGGTAAGTATCTCAGTTAGTTCATTTATCTGGGGATTCCCAAAGTGTAGGAAAAAAAAGTTTGGTAAACGCTGATTTAGGCTGATCGGAGTTCGTCATCTCACCCTGCACACTGACATCTGGTTGGTGGTCAGTGTTCCTGTTTTGTCGGAGCAGATGACAGAAGTGCATCCCAGCGTCTCCACTGACGGGAGGCTGCGAACGATGGCGTTCTTCCTGGCCATCCTCCTTGTGCCCAGTGCCAGACAGGTGGTAATGACTGCTGGGAGGCCTGGGAAAAAAAAAAAAAAAACACCGTAAACTTAAGGAGGATGTTGATAAATTAAACCATCTGTGGTTGAATGATGCCATGTTTGTGTCTGTGTTGTGGTAAATGAGTCATTGGATTCAACAGTTTACAGTGTATGACCTTCTGGAATGGCGGCCACAGCCAGAGCCACTGCGATCTTGAAGTAGTAAACAGCTCCCTTCAGCCAGCTGCCTCCGTGGACAGGGTCGCTGAAATGACCCACGTTGATGGCCCACACTGCCACACAGATGACAGTGATGACCTGCAGGGCCACACCAGGAGAACAGTTTAAGCCTTGGTCAGTGACGAACAGACTTTTTCCACCCTGGACCAACTGTTTTTTTTTTTTGCACTCCCATTGACTACATGAACTACAACTGGTCTAATTGTTCTACTGTTCCAAGATAAACATGATCCAGACTAAAGCTCGTGGACCTGCCTTTGACAGCTGCTCTCCAAACTGATCCAGCTTTTTTTGTAACGGCGTCCTCTCAGGGTCAGTGGAGGCCATCTCATCCCGGATTTTCCCAATCTCTGTCTGCACCCCTGTGGCCACCACGACCCCTATGGCTCGGCCTGCTGCGATGTTGGTGCCCTGTCATGAAGAAAAATATTCATTTTTCCGACACTGCTGTGACTAAATCTTTTTTTAGAAACTACAGTGATTACAGATGTATAGAAAAAAATATTGACACAGTCTCCCTCTTCTTTCACTATTTGGTTTTCTCTTTACTTCTACTGTCCGTCTGAATCATCCATCATTTTTGCTCTTGACCCAGTTGCCAGACGAGTGCGGCCTAACCAGCCTGGTCAGCTGACAGGTGCCATCAGAGCGAGCTCTGGAGCTGAAAGAGAATTTCCAAGTTGAAGTTGGCCAGGGGCGTAAGTAGATCCCGTCACTGTGAATTCACTGAGACGGCAGTGTTCCCCCGCCACACTGTCCACTACACACATCTGGACACACACACAGATACATGCACATTTGAGAAGAACATCTTGTGGTAAGTATCTCAGTTAGTTCATTTATCTGGGGATTCCCAAAGTGTAGGAAAAAAAAGTTTGGTAAACGCTGATTTAGGCTGATCGGAGTTCGTCATCTCACCCTGCACACTGACATCTGGTTGGTGGTCAGTGTTCCTGTTTTGTCGGAGCAGATGACAGAAGTGCATCCCAGCGTCTCCACTGACGGGAGGCTGCGAACGATGGCGTTCTTCCTGGCCATCCTCCTTGTGCCCAGTGCCAGACAGGTGGTAATGACTGCTGGGAGGCCTGGGAAAAAAAAAAAAAAAACACCGTAAACTTAAGGAGGATGTTGATAAATTAAACCATCTGTGGTTGAATGATGCCATGTTTGTGTCTGTGTTGTGGTAAATGAGTCATTGGATTCAACAGTTTACAGTGTATGACCTTCTGGAATGGCGGCCACAGCCAGAGCCACTGCGATCTTGAAGTAGTAAACAGCTCCCTTCAGCCAGCTGCCTCCGTGGACAGGGTCGCTGAAATGACCCACGTTGATGGCCCACACTGCCACACAGATGACAGTGATGACCTGCAGGGCCACACCAGGAGAACAGTTTAAGCCTTGGTCAGTGACGAACAGACTTTTTCACACTGGACCAACTGTTTTTTTTTTTTTGCACTCCCATTGACTACATGAACTACAACTGGTCTAATTGTTCTACTGTTCCAAGATAAACATGATCCAGACTAAAGCTCGTGGACCTGCCTTTGACAGCTGCTCTCCAAACTGATCCAGCTTTTTTTGTAACGGCGTCCTCTCAGGGTCAGTGGAGGCCATCTCATCCCGGATTTTCCCAATCTCTGTCTGCACCCCTGTGGCCACCACGACCCCTATGGCTCGGCCTGCTGCGATGTTGGTGCCCTGTCATGAAGAAAAATATTCATTTTTCCGACACTGCTGTGACTAAATCTTTTTTTAGAAACTACAGTGATTACAGATGTATAGAAAAAAATATTGACACAGTCTCCCTCTTCTTTCACTATTTGGTTTTCTCTTTACTTCTACTGTCCGTCTGAATCATCCATCATTTTTGCTCTTGACCCAGTTGCCAGACGAGTGCGGCCTAACCAGCCTGGTCAGCTGACAGGTGCCATCAGAGCGAGCTCTGGAGCTGAAAGAGAATTTCCAAGTTGAAGTTGGCAGGTGGCGACGTGGAGACTCACAGAGAAGAGCATGTTCTTCTTGTCCTGGTTCACGGCTCGAGGGTCTGGAACAGGGTCGGTGTGTTTCAGGATAGACACAGACTCTCCCGTCAGGATCGACTGGTCCACCCTCAGTGTGGTGGATCTGATTGATGTCAGCCTGATGTCAGCTGGGACCTTATCACCAACTGTTGGAGTAGAGACAAACTGACAAGTTACCAAGGGGCAGTTACGCTCCCCCTGTGAAAAAACAGATGAAATACCTATATAACTATGCAGATTTATCTTTGCTCTTAAATCCCTTTTTTTTTCAGGTGGACAGACTGGTTTTGCTCGTATATGAGGTTAGATTATTTAACATTTTTCCTCTGTTTCTTCAATTGTCAGCTAGTTCCCATCATGCTCTGCTCATTTGTTGCAGGGACAGTGACACACAAACACACACAAATGTTTTCTCAGGAGCTTTAAATAGAGAGAAAAGGCGTATCTGGAGGATTAAAGAATTTTTTATTTTGGGCTCAACATAAATGTGAACTGTGCCTGTTCTAGTAACAAACACAAATGAATCCCTGTTGAAAAGCAGTTTAGAGAGATCAGAGAGTCACGTCTGTGTACGGCACCCAGTTAGGGATGTCCCATATATTATGTCTCACTTTTTTCAAACGGACATTGAATGAATCTATGATGATGATATCTGTGATTTTCGGCGTACCTGCGACTTCCACAATGTCTCCAGGAACGATGTCCCGTGCCCTGACTCTCTGGACGTTCTGTTTGTCCTGACGGTACACTTTGCCCATCTCCGGCTCGTACTCCTTCAAGGCCTCAATTGCATTTTCTGCGTTACGCTCCTTTTTATAAACAATCAACACAGAAGAAAAGTATAAGGGGAGAGGAATCAGAATGTGTGATATAGAAAAAACATTCATCACAGAAACGTTTACCTGCCAAACTCCAACAATAGCATTGGCAATAAGGATGAGGAGGATGACAAAGGGTTCGACGAAGGCTGTGATAGTTCCCTGACCTTCTTCAAACCAGGCCAGGATCTAAGAGACAAAAGTAGATAATGCATTAACAATATTTAGTGTACAAACTAAACTAAACACATTAACAATATTTAGTGCACAAACATTGTTGTGTTGTGTTGTGTAAGGAAAATAAAGCCTTCTGACTTACAAAGGTTGTGTAAAGAAAATAAAGCCTTCTGACTTACAAAGGAAATGCACGCAGCCAGTAGAAGGATGCGCACCAACAAATCCTCAAATTGTTCCAGAACCAGCTGCCAAAGAGATTTACCTGCAGGGACACAGCAGTGTGAAGAACAAAGGAAGAACAAGGAGGATGAAAAGGCTGATTGACAGACGAGAACGGATCTAAAACTCACCTTCTTCAGCCGGGAGTTCTACAGGGTTAAAAAGAAAAAAAGGATTGACAGTTAAAAAGAGGGAATCAATGTTGTCATCACATGATCATTAATCCAGTTAAACATTACAGTACTGATTTTATAAATCCTAGACCTTAAATACTGTTGTGAATCTGTTGAGATCATCAGAGGCACATTTACCGTTGGGTCCCCATCGCTCTCTGTTGTTCTTCAGCTGTTCACAGCTCAGGCCTGTGGACTCGTTGACATTGAAGAAACCCAGAGCTTCCTCCACAGTCCTGGTGTGAGCGTTATCCATCACTGCAGAGGAAGAAGAAAAGACAGAAAGACAACATTGGCAGTACACTGGTTTACGCAGGCTACCATTTGTCTAAACAGTGCCCTGCAAAAAAAAACAAGGTCCTTATGAAACCAGGCAGAAATCCTCCTGGTGGATCACTACAATGGAGGGCAGCGCCATCTTGATTTATTGTCAGCGAACTCGTAGCTTAAAAATAAAATACTACAAAGACCAAAAATGACTTTTTCCTCATTCTGTGACCTTGGCCACTTAAGGTGTCCCAACTCAACAGCAATCAGTGATGATTGCTGATGATTTGGGAGTGTTTTACGCAAGAACATCATTACATTTAGATCTTTAAACAGACCATTAGCTAACAGGGGAATTACTCTGAGTACTTAGTACAGCCAAGCAACCACACACACCAAGAGCCCTACAGAAAGAAACAGCCCCGAAGGAACAGTCGTAACTGACTGTCCACAGGGTGTGTTCTGCTGACTAGAAGAAAAACTTTGACAGCTCTATAACACACGACACTGAAACACAGGCCGTGCTATATTAAGCTGTGCATTAAACAGGCACTAACGATACATTTAGTATTCATATATTAATAACTTTGCATATCGCGACCTTGCTTTTGAGCATCAATAATCCTTCTTCTCGAGGCTACATTTACAAGTTTGGTTTTTCCTGCAACTCCTTCACCTGTGACACCTCACGAATGCCTTGTTAATGTAATTGGAACAGCAAAGGTTTGTGCAATTGCTCGACACTGTTTTTAAATAATTACAGTGGCAATATTTTGTCAAAAATATTCTTTTTACATGATAAAGTAATGTAACCTCCACAGAGAAATTTTTTACATGTTAAATAAAGTAATGTAACCTCCACAGAGAAATTAACATTTAAGCTCCATTGGACACAGCAGCTGCTGCCTAATGTGATCAGTTTTTGTGAATACATATACTGAATTATATAAATTAACGTGAAAAACCAAGTATATAGTATGTTAACTTAGTGATGGAGGCCGCCTGTGGTGTGTGGTGATGAGCAACCTGCAACGACCTTGTAGAAAATGACACACTTGCATCGATAACGGATCACTGTAACTGACGTTGTCGCCATATATTATTTGAATCAAATTAAAATTGTGGCAGACTATAGTGACAAAGCAATTTCTCGATTCCAGCTAAAGCCCGTATGTCAGTACTAGCGTCTTCTGATATGATGTGTATTGTGTAAAAGAGAAGGAGAAAACTTAAAATATTTACCTCACGAATGATGACAATTTTTAGAAGGAAATAAAAAAGTACAAACGGCCGAAAGCCTACACCTGCTAGCAGCTAATTTGCTATGGAAGCTAACGTTAATCCTACGGAGGTGAACAGGTTTCTTACCGGTAGATTTTTACCGTTCTTTCTTATTTTTTCTCCGTCTGCGTGTCGTTTATGTCTCCAATTCGGTCCCGTAGTATGACAGTGTCAGCCTTTTATCCTCAATAATGTTCCTCCCTTTCCGAAATAGAAATAAAAAGGATATAAAATAAAAATAGTTGATCCACTAGTTAACAGTAACAGTGATAGCTGCTCACAGCGAGGCAAAAAGGTCAACGCCTTTGCATTTCGATCGGAAATTAAGATTAAGCATTCGTACACCTAATGTTTGTGTAAATAAAATCTTAACAGGGTGTTTCAGAGGCGAGTTTTTTTACACTATGCCTGAAGACTAGTTTGAGGAGACAGCATAGTATTTACTCTTTATCCTTGATCCTAACAGCGGCACAATCGTGTAAAGTTTGACTTTAATACCACACGTTCCAATTCCGCTTTAAAGATAGCAAAGTAACGGCTTGTATTCACAATGCACCATATCCACGCACCATACCAAATCAGTTTATGTATTTATTTTTATATATTTAAGGAGTTTATTAAACGTCTGGAAATAGTCAATAACTTTTCAGTGTGTTAATTTTAATTCAAAACATTTTTACAGCAATTCGAAGCTTTTATTTTGTAAATAAAATAACTTCCGGCACAACCATCGCTCCTAAACCTAACGCCTCTTTCTTACTGCTGTGACTTCGTAATAATCACAATTAGGGTTAAATACAACCAGAAATGGTCCAATGGGCTTACCAGTATTAAGAGCGACTCGGTATATCAACCAATAAACTGATAGATCTTCCGCACCGAAAATGATATGACGTAAAAACAGATGTCCCGCCTCTGGCATTTTAGTTCAATGAGTGCCAGGTGCGTTTGCTGTCGTTTAGCGGAAAACCAATCGGTGATTAGCTGCGATTGTCGGTTGGAAAGGTTGACCAATCAAAAACATCGACGGCGGGACGCTTTATATTTTTGTCCCTGTTACTCCCTGTTGGGATTTGATTTTTTATTTGTAAAATTTGACCACAATTCAAAACACTTAGGCATTTAGACGTGTTTCAAAACCTGTGGTGCGAAACTAACAGTGTGTCTAAATACACGGAAGACAACATTCAAAAAACCACAGTGTAAAATCACAACATATCTTGTGAAAATTGTTGATGCGTATGCATCGACACAATCTTTGACAATGACAAAGTGTGTTTCATATTATGTAGAAAATGCGAACTTTTTTTTCTTAGTTTTCCAAATATTAATTTATTGAGGCTACGTGAATTAACGTCGAACTATAAAACGGGCATCTAGTTTCTTTTCAGAATTATCCAACAGCTCAAACGTGCCCTTAAACTCGCATAGAGGAATAGCGACACCTGCTGTATACTGAGAAGCATTACAAAAATAACACTTGTCTCCATGTGACTCGAAAAAATATACATTTGGCAGCGCTTAGAAGGTCTGGACTATAGGCAGATGGAGAGAACAAAAAAAAACTTGAATAAAAGGTAACATCTGACAAATTTCTGAATTTCTGAACAGTTAGACTGCACATCATCTGACATAGTTGTTGAATCTCCAAATCTCTCTTCGTTTCACATCTTCACTGAACCCTGGTAGGTTAAAAAAGTTGAGAGACCTCTTCCATATCTGTTACATATTCGAGAATATATTGGCCATTAATGAAAGAAGAAACTGATGATATCAATCATTATTATATTCCTCTTTGTATTCTTGTTTTACCTCAGAAATTCTGGTATGTTACAGTGTCGTGTAGTTTTTTTGTATTCTTGTTTTACCCCAGAAACTCTGGCATGTTACAGTGTCGTGTAGTTTTTTGTTTGTTTTTTTTCACTACAAAGATAAGCACATGTGTTTTGTTTTTTCACTACAAAGATAAGCACATGTGATGTAATAGGAAAGTGGATTGTTAGCACGCTTAGGAGTCCTGGGTTCCATCCAGATCAGTGGTGGCTGGAATGTGAATGAAGAACCTCCAAGGTCTCTGAGTGAAGCTGCACCTCCAGACCAAATAAGGACAGAAGCAGCAGGACCCATCAACCAGAGCAGGAGGCCAGCGTTTCATCGAGACTCCCGGGGATGAGAAGTGGCTGCTTTACATCCTCAGTCTGTGTATAAATACATCTTTGTTTGTTCCAGCGTGTGCTCCATGTCCAGCTGGGAGAGAGTGACAACACAGACTTTTCAGTGTTTATCAGTCCAGAACCTGATATTAGCAGAAAATGTGTTAAACTGAACTGAGTCAATGATCAGTGTGTGTTGATAAAATACTAAGGTTCAGTTCTGAAATCTTGACAAATGACTTCATGTTGGGGAGGGGTCTGTCCACTCTCCTCCTACTCCCCACCCTCCACATGGTACTGAGTGTCCATCACTTCATGGTCCTCTGCTCTTTAGCTTCACTTCCTGCAGCGTGCACTCCACTGTCTGTGCTGTTGTTATCAGACGGCAGTGGACATTAAAAAGTCATGCCGCTCACTGTGGTGCTGGACGGGCCCGCGCCCTGGGGGTTTCGCCTGACAGGAGGAAAGGACTTCAGCCAGCCCTTGACCATCTCCAGGGTGAGTGAGTTGTACACTTTGTTTGTTTATACACAATAAGTAAATATATTGATGTATATTATTAATCCCAATTGTCTTATTTCTCATTTCCACATTTTGCTGCACTTTGATGTTTCTACTGTACAAAAGTCAAATGTCAGCGGGTGTAAATCTGGTCTGGCTCTGTTGTGGTCCAGTCCACGGGGGACGGTCTGTGGTTACACACTGTCAACACTGTGTCTCTGGGGGAGGTCGAGGGTCGGAGGGATCGGGGGGGGGGGGTACATTTGAAAAGGAGTGTATGGAGAGTGGTGTGGGGTTTTGCACCTGTGCCACAGTGAATGCAAGAGGCTTAGATCCAAATAGCAGCTTACGCTGCTGCACTGACATGTGCTGCTACACGTACACACGTTTTACCAAGTGGAAGTCAGGGTGAATTATTTGGGAGCATGGAAAATATATCCTGATGTACTCCATATGAAAACATCTCCTCTGCTGCGCTGGAAACATAAAGATACAAAGTTTTCCAACTTCATATGTTTGGACAAATGTATCTCCATCATCCAGGGAGTTTGATTAGTTAGTGGTTATTGTTATGAAACTTCTAATTTGTCGTATTTAATTAATAATTTTTCTACTTTTCATAAGTCATTACATAATTCATGCTCATTGGTTGATTGACAGCTACATATTTCAACTCTCCCTTATACGCTAACTATCTAACAAACAACTATTTTTAAGTTTATAAAACTGATTAAGTTTAGTCAAATTAATTTTATGTTAAACTCTTCCATGACACTGAAGATGTCGTGACTGAGTTATAATCGTTATCTGCAAATGTAAATCCTCATTTCCTGGGTAGAAGATGGCATTTCCTGTTGATCCAAAGTGAGGCAGAAAACAAAAATCATTGGATGTCATTCAACAGATTCACCAGAAGAAGAATTCTTTGTCTTCCCGTTGGACAAACCATCAGGCGATTTCATCCATTTAAAAGACATGTAACAGCTCAGCTCATTAATGAGTGAAAACAGACATTCGCCCTGACTCCCTGTCAGAAAAAGATACAAGGCCTAAAGTCTTTGCTGCGCTGAGAAACATTTAAATCAGGAATAATTTTCTTTACAAAAACGCACCATCACATCCTTCTCTTCTACCCACATCTGATACCAAACCTGAAGCTGCTCAGGGCACTCTTTTTGTTTAAACTTTTCTTTCAGCAGGCTGCCATTTGCACGGCTTCTTTTTGTTTAAACTTTTCTTTCAGCATTAGGACCCGCTGCTCAGCATTCTGAATCTGGACCGTGATGTCATAATGAGGATTAAGGGTCATTTGTGGTCTCCATTCCCAGCACTGAGCTGCAGCAGATGTGAGGTGATCCTGTGATGCAGCTCTGCTCCACTGTCCTTATGGGAGTCTATATTTAGGGAAATACCTCAGAAACGTCAGAGCACAGGCAGAGGAGTAAACCCTCAGAATATATTCCTGCCCCCCCTCACCCCCCCGTCACTCTCACACCTGTTGTGTCGGGAGACACTGAGAGGCCCAACATGAGAAGTGTGATGAGAGAAGATGAAAGAAAAGCAGGAGTGGAGCGATCCAACATCCTGGAGTGTCAGACGAGACCTAGCGGTGTTTTGAGAGAGCGCCGGCCCTGCCCTTTATAAATACAGTGTTGCGTTCACTGACTTGTTCCAAATACATCGAATTGTTCCAGCAGTGAACTCACAGACTTTATTAGAGCTCCAGTAAACCCAGTGTCTCCCTGCACTACCATTTTTGGTCAGGAACATCCTTGTGACCCAGCAGTGTTCCCAGCTGCTCCAGGAAAGTAAACACGAGTGATTATCATCTTTTTCTCCAGCACTCAGCAGCCTTAAAGGGACACTCTCTCACGCATTCACACTTCCACATCAGCATTCTTGATCTTAGGCTCAAATCAGCTGCAAAGTTTCTGCTACGGTTCTGAACAAGCTGCAGTCATGCATTCACTGGATGATCCATGTGTCAACACCATCGATGCACCAACGGGATCAGACTATTTAAAAATTAAAAAGAAATGGAATTGTCAGGAAAATGTCTATATTACAAATATTTAAAATATTCCCATATTTCAGATTGTAATGATGCTGACGTCGGTCTGTTTGTTTCACTCTGACAAAACAGACTTTTTGGAGGGTTTAACTGAATAAATAAACACTTCCATGGAATTCAAATATTAATACTTGGAAAAAGGTCATTCAATGATTGTTTTATTTTAGCATTTTTATTCACTTGATCACTGCATAGGGTCAAAATGAGCTGCAAATAAATAAAAACTTTCTTTGGCAGATAGTGTTAGGAATTCTTCACTTAATCGTGCAAAAAAGAAATGACAACAAAAATGAGTTTCAACATTTTGCTTTTTCTTTTAACTATTAATCAAACCATAGATATTCTGGGTGTGTTTTTATTATATCATTGTTTTTAAATGCTTCAACATTTAAAAATAGAATGACTTACATGTTTTGATGCTGTTATGAATTTTCAACGGCCTTAAGTATGAATGAATGTCTTCATTATCCAGGACTGAGGCCAAATGATCATATGTTTAGTTAAAACACTGGGGATAAAAAAAAGAGAGAAATAAAAGATTAGTTCATGTTCGAAGTGAAAAAAAAACAGCATCTAGAAAAGAAAGAAAAGCCTCACGGAGGCAACTGAAGAAGAATTGAATGTTGTTCAAAGTTTAAACCAGGATAAATGTATGAGAGGACACTGAGCCCTAATAAAACAGCAGGACTGCAACAAATCCTGGGCCGTAAATCAGAGCTGGCTGTACCAGACCTCGTCACTGCTCTTCCCCCGACTCTTATTTATAGGCAGATGATCTAAATCCAGAATCAACGTAACATCCCAGTGTTCCACAGTTTCCTATGTCCTGTAATGCAATAAGATCCAACAAAGGTCATGACCCGGGTCGTGTCAGATCAAAGGGAATCTTCGGTGCGGTGCGAAGACGTCTCTGGGACTGTGACCTTGATAAGGTTCTTGGGATTCTAATTCCTTTGGAATCACTTCCTGGCCAGGAGGACACATACTCCATCTGGAGACGATCACTCAGTGGGAAGGAGCACGTGTTTATTTTATCTCCATGACAGGAGACGGAGGAAACACAAGTTCTGGTCTTCTGGTGCACATCAGGCTGTGGTGAGATTCTCATCCTCACTGTAACATCACAACTTCATCTTCAGGCAGGGGTCGCTGATGAAGAGGAGGTGACAGTGATGAAACCCTGACCAGGCTTCACTCTCTCCACAGCAGCTTCACTGGGATGACTCCATTATTCTATGCATGAACTGAAGTCAGAGTTGATGATGTAACTCATATCTGAGTGAAATTTTGAATCAATGTTCAGGGTCGTTGGGTCAACAGAGGTCAGTTTGAGACAAACAAAGTCCAAATAGTGTGTGATGACTGTAGTGGCAGAGGTCAGTTTGAGACAAACAACTATTGTTGTCCAAATAGTGTGTGATGACTGTAGTGTTAAGTCTTTTTGTTGTAAAATGTATAATTTTTTCCTTCATTATTCAATCCCAGAATTTGCATCATCTCCAGTTGTATCTGAAAAACAACATTTCTCAATACAGACCTACACAGTGGTAGAGTGGTTGGTGCTCTTGCCTTACAGGAACAACGGCCGTTTGTTCCCTAAACGTGCCTTCCTACATGGAGCTGTTCATGTTAATCTCAATATGAACTCTCTTTTATCAACTTTATCTTCTTTCTTCAGATCACTCCCGGCAGTAAAGCCTCCATGGCCAACCTGTGCGCCGGTGATGTCATCGTGGCCATCGAGGGAGTCCCTGCTGCCGACATGCTGCACTGTGAAGCTCAGAACAAGATCAAGGAGTCCAGCAGTCAGCTGCGTCTCACTGTGGAAAGGTCGCACAGACAGATGATGGACAGACAGACAGACAGACAGAGACAGACAGACAGATGATGGACAGACAGACAGA